TTCATCTCCTGTATATTCCTTTATTGTAGTTGTCAAACCATACTGCAATGATATGCTTATTTATTAGGTGCATCTAATAGATTAATACCTTCATTAGGACACAAGTTACGTTGTAGCATCTTTGTAGACCGAGTGTTTAGCACAGTGGCTGGCACACGGATGAATAAATGATTAGATGTGAGACAATAAATAGCTAAATATCTCTGGTCACCTTCCAGAAGTAGAGTGTCCTCTCTAAGCATGGCATTAATTCTGAGCAACATTATATTTCTGGGGTATCATGGTTAATATTTCAATACTACATAAGTAATTTCAGAGGATTATTTTAGATTTTAAATACTCATAATCTGTGACCTTGAATTTTCTCTCTAAGCATGGCATTAATTCTGAGCAACATTATATTTCTGGGGTATCATGGTTAATATTCCAATACTACATAAGTAATTTCAGAGGATTATTTTAGATTTTAAATACTCATAATCTGTGACCTTGAATTTTATCATTCTGTTTTCTGTCCTTCAACGTCTCAACTACAAACTACAAGAATATGTTTGAATTCCCATTTACTTCACTGATGAAAGTTGCAAAGGTCTTTGATTAAGCTTCACTGAAGTGCATATGCATAATCTTAGTACTTTAAAATGTTGACCCACTAATATAACAGATGAATTTTATTTCTCATGGGCAGCTATTCTTGCTAAACTCTCTCAAGTGAATAGAAAATGTTAATCATGCTCAACTGCAGGAGAATTTAAGGCTTCTCCCATTTATTTTTTTCTACTCTACATGAATAAAAACTTTCTAAAATGTGATAAAACCACCTTATCACCAAAGCTACTTTAACGAAAAAGTGTTCTGTAGAAACTGACTAGAAATGCACACATTTGCTATGCAACAGCATGATAAAATGGTAATTTTTCAAATTCTAAGTAAAACTAATACCGAAATTTATTTTTATCCTACAGAGTGCAACTACTGGGCACCAGGAAAATTAACTTTAAAAAGAATGTTGAAATTGTGAAACAAATACTGAAGAGCATGCCAATTCAGTTAGGAATTTAGCCTTCAGAATGAAGGAAAAATAATCATAGGTTAACATTAAGATGGACCCCCTGTTGTGCTTAGATATTGAAGGTTTAAACTTTAGCTGTGCACAGCTTTCTATGTGAGGATTGGTCTCAACCTTAGTATTTTTTGTGGTTGCCTATTTATTTGTTTGTACTAGGGGAGAAAACTCATGATGATCTTTTTTGTTATTGAAACTATATAGGATCTCATTTAGCATCAACTCTAGGTCACAAGTGATATATTTTTCCTTTCAGTTCCAAGAAACACTGGACAAAGCAGAATAAAATAAAGCTCAATTAATATTTTAAGAAATATTTGAGTGGATATGTGGTTTTAAAAAAACAAGCATCTTTAATACATATAAGAGTAAATTGTTTTTGATATATATACTTTGTTGTTTTTAACATTAAAATTTGAAGTTAATTTTAAATGTTTTTGGTAAAAAAATTGAAATTGAGTCACCATGTATGATAAAGGATGGGAAAACAAACTTAGTGATACATCTGGTTTTAGTTAAAACTTGGAAAATAAATACATGCACTTTTATTTGAGTTAATTATATGATGTCTTCTATAAAACTGTTACTTTTTAACAAACCTTAGAATATTAATATTTTCTATAAAATATGAGGCAATGAATGACAGAAGCAATGGCATTTATTGTACTATAATATCATTTCTGTAACTTTTATGTAATTATAATTCAAAATATTCACAACATTATCCAATTTTAAATAATTAAACTTACTTCCCCCCTCTCTCAGTCAATCATAGCTGTCCTGATGATCAGTTTAAATGCCAGAATAATCGCTGCATCCCCAAGAGATGGCTTTGTGATGGAGCTAATGATTGTGGAAGCAATGAAGATGAATCCAGTCAAACTTGTGCAGGTAAAGTTTTGGCTGGGTATACACATACATCTCCTTTAAAGTTAATCTCCATAAAAATGAAGGTCAATGCTTTGAACTAAGCTGACTGTTTTAGTGTGGATGATCTGATTATTGCAGTAGTAAATGAATTCAGATTTTGATGCCACAAAGGCTAGAATACAAATTATCTTTTACTTAATCCTTTGCTATGACAGTGTTTTCCAAAGTAATGTGGCACTTCATCTACCCATATGGGTCAACTATTGATACACTACTTGTAAAAGACTTGCTCCTTCTAAATCTTACTAAGCAGTGGAGATTGAGGTTTGTTAGCATGCTGCGGTATAGACTGTCTCAGAAGGAGGATTTTTTTTTAACCTTGAAAAAAATAATTTATCATTTTTTTTAGTGTATACGGAATACCTCTGAGAATAGTTCTCTTTTTATGACAAATTACTTATATAAAGTAGTTTTTTTTTTTCCCATGGAGAGACAAGACCATTGAGCCTATTTATATTTCCATATAATCTATTCCATTGTAATAAATCATTGAATCCCTAGCCAGATTCTCATTGAATGGAAATATACAGCTTGTGGTACAGTTTACAACAGAGTGCCAGAAAAGTCATTATTCATCAGATAAATGTTGAAAAATGATTCTGACTGGTAGCATCTCTTTAAATGATAAAGAAAACATAGTGTATTTGATGACTTATGTTGAGATGATCTATAAAAATTTATTTTTTAAAACCATTATATACTGCAACATCAAAACACATTAACCACCCCATAAACTCTTTCCCTATTTGCCAAAGCAAGGCTTACTAAATACACATTATTATAAAGTACTAGAGAAAACTGTAGAACAGCATATAAAGAAAAGACACAGAGGCCAAGGAGACTGGTTTCTACTTTTGGTTTTGCCACTGGTTTTCTCTTGGAAAGACTTATACCTCTCTGCACCTTAATTTCCTCATGCATTTCTTTCAGCTTTGTAAGAGTATGGACTAACTATAAATTGTTTCCAAAGAGCTTCTCCCTTTCTACTTTCTGCCTCAATGAATTTGACTGCTCTGAGTGCTTCATATAAGTGGAATCATATAGTGTTTGTCTTTTTCTGACTGGCTTAGTTGTATAAAATAAAAACATGCATACTACTTGGAAAAAAGAAAAAGAGCTTCTCACTACATACAAAACAACAGTGACAAGAGCAAAACAGTCATCATTTCAAAATTCTAACCTACATCTTATACTCAGCTTTTTTTATAGTGACAAATTTACTGAGGACCCATTTATTCCCTTGTCCTTTGATTAAAAACCTCATCTGACATTTTAGAATATCTGAATTTTTTAAAAGGGTGTGTGTGTGTGTGTGTGATAAGATTGTTTCATAAAAGACTTTCTAAGAGAAAAGAACATCTAGAGACCATCTGGTCTTAGATCCTTACCTTCACAGACACTCGTTTTATATATGAAGCATGGGGGAAGGGACTTGTCTAAACTTACATCACTGACAAGAGTTTAGGGGAAACTCAATCCATGAGTTTACTCTTCAAGGCCATTGCTCTTTAAACCAAACTACATTACCCTAAGATTAGCTAGAAATTTAGGTATGGTCAATTTAACTTTGCTCGGATTGCTCTTGCAATATGACTATAATTTATAATAAAGCGTTTTACTAAGCCAGGGCAATTATTATTCTTTTAAGGTTAAGGTTCAATTCAGAGATTATGCTTCTTTACATCTTAGTACTTGGAAGGAAATGTTGACCCTTTAACATAGCAGATGTATATGCATAGCTAAGCAGATAGATCTGCTTTCACCTTAAAATAGAAAATATTGTTAACTCAGTTTATAATACCATGTTTTCATTTCTACTAGATTTTTTAAATCTGCTTGTTTCTACATGGTTTTTAAAAGAAACTCTGTGGTACTCTAGCTATTTACAGCAGTAAAAGGGGAAATGTTTATGTGGAAGAGCAAATAAACCAGTCAATCCTAATTAGTAAAATTTCCAAGAAACTTAAGTCCTGTGGTTCACTAGGAAACAGAGCATAACTTTCTTAAGTGCCAGTTTTAGTGATACCAGCTGAAGTCTGCCACTCACTACTAGATCTACTTGTGGGTGAATTTACAATAGCTATTATGGCTATTGGACACCTAAAGACAGGAATAAAAAGAGCAAAGAGAAAAATAAATATCCCTTTTAGCTTTGATAACTGTGAAGTCTGTGATCATGTTACATTGTACTTCCATTTCATTCTTACCAGAATGAATAAATAGGTCACATAGCTTACCATACTGGAAAAAAATCACAGATTTATATAGACCATTTCCCTGGCTGGATCATTTCTACCCTAGATATAGGTGCATATATGGACATGTGTCCTAGATAAAAAGACTTCCCAATGGGGGGTTATTTTGTAATCGAGTTCACTATCCTGTAGTCATTAACAGTGTGACGATTTTATGTCTAAGAGAAAATAAAAAGCCTATTTCTTATTTTGGTCCTTTGGGATTTCTTCTTCATGAATTAATTATTTTAATAAATATTTATCAAGACATCGATGATAGAATAAAAAAAAAACCTTTTCCTAAAAAATGTAAAGGTGAAGATTGGGAGAAAGATATATAAACAGGCTATTCTTGTGCAGTATTCAAAGTGCTAAGTTTAACCACATGGGAGTACGTAGGAAGAGTAACAGATTTAGTGTTTGGCTATCTGGGAAGACTTCCTAAAGGAAGCAGTGTTCAAGCTAAGACTTAAAAAAAGTGTAAGAAAAATTCTTGTCCAATAATTGCAAAGATGTTCATACCTTCAAGTCTGTAATTCCATTTCTTGGTTTATACTTTAATAACTGTGCACAAGGAAACATGAGTAAGACGGTACATTGCCCTAGCAATAGAATTAGGGGAAAATTGAAGCAACTAAAATGTTCATCGGTAGGAGAATGGGTAGATATATTGTGTTATAGTCATACAATAGAATGCTATTCTTAATTAAAATGAATGAAATAGAACTCAAATAAAAACAGGAATGAACTTCAAAAAAAGTTAAACAAAAACCTGGGTTGAAGAATATAAAAAAATACCATTTATATGAAGTATAAAAATACAAAATAATTTTATATAGTGATTATGAATTCATAAATGTGTAGAAATAGTATTAAAAATATGTCTGGAAATGAAAAAAAAAAATGAAAGCGAATTAAGGACAGTAGTTATTCCTGGAAAGGGAAGGAGGGAAATGTTATTGCGAATTATGAATTCATAAATGTGTAGAAATAGTATTAAAAATATGTCTGGAAATGAAAAAAAAAATGAAAGCGAATTAAGGACAGTAGTTATTCCTGGAAAGGGAAGGAGGGAAATGTTATTGCGGAAGATTACATTTCTTCAAATGTAACTATAGTACATTTTTTCTTAAATAAAACAAAACAAAAATCTGTACCAAATATTGAAAAAAACGAAGATGTGATATAGCCACATGATAGTAAATAGGTGTTAGTATTATTTCCTCTACCTTTCTAGGTGATTAGAAATATCTGACTGGAAAAAAAAAAAGATCAATTGACTGGCATAGATTGTCTATGGCGGGGTGAAGCCAATAATGGGAGAGAGGGTTGGAGAATGTTCTCAGAAGAGGAAACAGCACATACACAAGGAGCAAGCGACACAGTCAAGGGCTTGGGAGCCATTCTCCCACAGCATCCAAAATATTTTTATCTACTTATAAGGGAGACCAAGAGGCCAAAGATAAAAAGTAGTTAGACTTGAAATTCTTTTTCCTCATAGTAACCATGATAATTCTTAGATTCAAGTGTAGACAATTTCAGACCAGTATTTCCCCACCACAGAGCTCTGATTAGATTACATAATATTTGTTGTTCTCACATTCTCCACCAGTTTTGACTAAATTCTTACTAGACAGGTATAATTGCATTTAAAAAAAAAAACAAACTAATGTATTAGAAATCAGACTCTTTTATAAGACAAAGTAAAGAATGCATTTTGATATGACATAGGTTTTGTTTAAATAAAATGCTTTGATTAAAATGCAGCAAAGGTGTCCTCCCCTGTATAGTTCTGTGCATTGTGGGATTTCTCACTGCTATATGGCTGCAGGAGAAGCATGATTAGTGATAGGAAGAAATATTCATATTGTGACCAGAAATCTCTAATTCATCTACTACATATTAATAATTCTGTTGGAGGAGGGGTAAATTTCCTTTTCCTTAAGGCAACATTTGCTAAAAATTAGAGTCCTCTGGCGCTGCTCTGCTAATCTCACCTCCAAACTAATCCATGCCTGGTGGAGACAAAAACTGAAAAAGTAAAAGTTGTTCTTTCTTTATACAGATCTATTGATTAGGAAATGATGATTTAATCAATATGGGTATACCACGTAGAGAGACAATACTTACAGATTTGTGGAATAAAACATTTTCGTCATCTGAAACCAGTTAAATTTGCCTGGGAGACTAAGCAAATAATTTTCTCCATGATTAGAACACACAGTGAATTCATATAATTTCAAGGCATACTTTCCCTCAGTAATAATCCAGTGAATGCTCTTTGGAATAATAAATCATAACAGTTCCTCCAGCTTCAGAGTTAATGACGTGACAACACAAGCTTGCACATCACAATGTGCGATAAGTCATACACAATGTGAGATAGGGTCTTAGAAATTCTTTCTCACTCTCCTCTGTAATCACCATAGCTCTCCTAATGAAAGCAAACAATCTAAGAAAACTTTGCTAGAATTAAATTTGAACTATACAGTGACGTGAGAATGCCAAATAAAAGGATATTGGATTCAGTAAATTTAATGTGATCAATTAGCATTTAATGGAGATGAAAATATCTGATAATGTATTTTTATTTAAATCAAGAAAGACTGAAGAGTGAAATACGTAGAGAATAAAGGAGAAGGGAGAGATATAGAGAAGGAAAGAACACAGGAGGGAAGGAAGTTAGGGAGGAAAGAAGGAAAGAACATCCTATCACTATAATCCCCT